CACACACACACACGTACACAGAGTCATATCGAAAAACAGAGGGTTTGTGCTGCCGCATTTAAAGCCACTTAACCAATTCCTTTCACATTATGAAACACTATGTCCCTGCTTGTTCCGACATTATAAGCTGCTGTCAGCAGCTCCAGGGACGACTGCTCGATTCCTGGACCTGACACACGGAGAGATTTTGGGCTACATGCACCAAAAATCTCAGTCTACCTTACAATGACAGCCCGACCAGTGACCCACGGCCAATTCTTGAATGGGGAGAAGCGCGCGCTCGCTTACACACTCTGCGTGCGCTTGAGGATTGGCACAACACATCGATGTCGACTTCCCAATTAGCGGTTTACTCTATTCCCGGTAATAATGGGCTATAATTAGTAACCACCAGGTGGGTTATGCGTATTTTAAAGCTTTAGAAACACCTCGACTCACCTGCTTTCCCTCAAACCAGCTGACCACCAGGTTGAACTTCACTCTCGGGCAATCTCAGTCATTTACTGAGCACCTCCAACACTCCATCACCTCGTCTTGGCCATTTGTTAATCTGTTTCTTCCTCCCTCACCTCTCCTCTTCTTTCCCTTGGAGCAAACGGAATTTTCCGCAAGGGCACCTGCGGTCCCTTCACCTCACTCTGCAAGCGGAAAACGCGTGTTTTATAGCAACCTGCTGCCCTCCATCACTCTCTACACTGATACAGATGCTCCTCCTCGGCTTGTTCAAAGAGAGAGAGGGGGAAAGAGAGAAAGGTCTAATCATAACGTCTGAGCATGCGTGACATTCACAGTACATCTGATCATTCTGTTACCCGTGAGAGATAGAGACTGGCAGGAAAATAAGTATTTCATCGAGCACAATTATTATGAAGTTATGATTATGCTAATGATTGATTAATCGATTATTCAAGGCTATTTACATTGTAAGGTGAAGACCCTTCAATAATAAATTCATTATTGAATTCATTATTCATCTTTTCTGGCTGGATGAGAGTTATTCCCCGGAGCTCCATTAAAGCCTTCACAGACAAGCCTAGACTTTTAGCATATTAATGGATTTTGGAATAATATGTCAACATTTATAGATGGGTGTCTGACCACATTTTTAAGGTCTACGCATTTTAAAATTTAAAGTAATGATGATGGTAATGAAGAAAAAAAGATTAAAGAAGGTCAGCACAGTTTCCCTCCCCGCCTTTTTAATTCAAAAGTTGCACAACCTCGCACATTTTCATCTTTCTGCAACCTGACAGTAATTGCTTTGACATTTTGCTGCAGAAACACTTGTGTGCTCTGTTTTCCTTTGAGCTATATTAACATTTAGCAAATGTAGCTGATGTTGTATTGGATCTTCGTATTGTTTAAGAAAAAAGCCTCCAGCTGCTGTTTCGTTACACGCAAGGAGGACTGAGTTCTCCACTGGGACTCTAGGGTCAATATTAAGATCAAATACACTGTGTACCCTATCTCCATGTTTACTAATTGACTCAAATTTTTAGATTATGGACATGACGCAGCCCAAAATTGGTCTCTTTTCTACTTGCCTCATTTTGTTCCTTTACTTTGTGATGAAGGTGTGTGCGAAGACTTAAACACTAGTCTGTATGGTGCTATTGGATAGCTGCAAAAATCTGATAAACTGTGATGCAGATTATTCTCTACTATTCACTGTTGCTGTAATTAGTCCTTTATTGCAAAGCTGAGATAGACGTTACCTTCTATTTGGATGCTTTTCTACCACTTGACGAGTAACAAGAAAGCAAAAGCAATCCCGTGAAGCTAAACGCTTCAGAGTTAATGATAGCAGATTCGATGTAGTTTGTTGCCACCAGCAACAGTAACCATATTACACAAATCATTTGATCCACAGTTATTTATATTCATATGATTACTTTTAGTTTTATTTATGCAGACTCAAGGCCAGTTTTTGTTGCGATTCACTGAGTGTGTCGTGTATTTGATTGCACTGAAAGTTAAGGTTCAGTTTCTCAGACGTGGATTTAATGTAAAAAGAAAATTCACTGGACCTAGTCATTATATTTGTCTTTTAGTTTAGCACTAGGTTTAGCCAATGTCTTGGAAACTGTGTGTAAGAGCTTTGATTTCTTTCTCCTCAAAGAATGTTTTTGTTTTTAATTTAATGCACCCGCTCATGTGAAAAGCCTATTACCAGCGCAATACTTTGCCATGCAATAATTCATTTTTAAACATCATGTCTAGCTGGAACAAGCTGGACCGCACACAAAATTTTAGCTTGGTCTCACTGGCCCTGCTCACATTAAAAGTCATAAACAGCTCCATGAAAATCTAATCATTCAGACTGCAAATTTGTAATGTTTATTCATTTAAAAAACAGAAATTAAGCCCAGATAGCTCATTAAAATGAAAATAACAAAGCCAAATTGAGCCGTGGTTCTAAAAGTTAATTTTCTTTTACTGTTTTTAAAATTTTGAAATGTCCCTGTAACTGTTTTTATAGTGACCTCTTTCCTACTTTCTTTCTTTCTTTGACCCTCTCTTTCTCCTCACTCCTCTATGCATCTGGTTTAGGCTGTTTCACTGAGGATGAGGATGACTATCTAGTGTTTCCATGGTTACAGTGAATAAGAGTGGATCGGACGCAGCTATTTGGGGCACTGTTTGAATCCAAACGACTGCAGGTTTTGGGAAAAGGTTCATGATATCCAAAGACCTGCCCTCCAGGGAGAAGTTGGTGTGATGAGATGAGAATATGCTAAGAGAAGAAGAGCTGAGCTGACAGCAGGGAGAGCATAATGGGTGAGGGGTAGCTGGGTTTGGTGGGAGCAGTGAAGCAGAGAGAAAAATGTGGGGATGATAGAAGGATGGAAAATACAGGAAAGGATATATATATATATATTAGAATTGATGTGAGAGGCAGATTCACGGAGCTCTGCACTGTCTGTCTCTATTGCTCCATCTCTGGACAAGAAAAAAATTAATTATAGAGTACAGGGAAGGAGTGGCAGCAGAGGACGGAAAGCTCACTTTGAGTGCACTAAACTTGGGTTTTGCATTCTGGAAGCAGTCTGTCTGCTGCTTCCTTCTATGTATTTTCCTGTGAGAGTGTCTTTTTTCTCAGTCTCCCTTTTGAACACATATTCTCTCCCTCTGCTTCTTTATTAGGCTCATACACGCTCTCACACACACATTATGCCACATGTCTGCCAATTTCACAGTTTGATTCTCAGTCAGTTATTCCCCTTGGTTATTCCACAGACATTACAGTTCCACTTTGTAACAGTTTAATCCACAACTCGCATCCACAGTAAACAAACGAAAAATACTTCAGCATTAATCCTTCTTCCTCTTTCTCTGTAGACTAGGGCTCTTTTTTGTTTTGCCTTGGCTGTTAATCGGCATGTCATTATTCAAAGCTAGGTTTCTTCAATGTTTGACTGTTTCTTATTAAACCCCGGGCTAATAAGTGAAGCACATCACCAGACAGGACACATTCATCAGCAGACCCCCGGTGTAGAGAGGACAAGTGGGATAATTAAAAACAAAAATGGGAAAAAAATCTTCAACTGAGATTCATATAGGGATAAGATGCAAGAAACTGGGAGCCTGGGCTGTTGGTGTATGACACACAGGCTGCAGCAAAAAACCTTGGCTGTGTCCACTACCATCTGTGTGTGTGTTCCAGCGACGGAGGTGGATGTGACGGACGATGACGGCCTGATTCACAAGCGCTGTTGTGATAGACTCAAATGTTTGCCTTTTCTACTCAGCAAATATAGCACTCAGCCTCTCATACATTTTGTATTACCACAGTGGCGATAGAAAGAAAAGAGTAAGGGAGGGTGGGGATGACATGAACATGATGAGATAAGGGGCAAAGGATGAGAGGCGTTTGGAGAGTCTGGAAATGGATGTCAGAGAGGCAGTGAGTTAAATAACATAGCTTCAGGAGTGAGAACGCTACAAGCAAGGTCAGAGGAAATTAAAAATAGGACAGGCGTACAGGCAAAGAACAGCCATGTAAAGCTTTTCTGTTAGTCAGCCGCCCTAGAGATGAGATGAGACAGAGCAAAGAATAAAAAAAACGTCTTTGCATAACTCTCAATACGTCAAATGATTACGTCTCGGTCTAAAAAACATTCACCCTTGAAGCGCTCGGATTTCCAAACAGATAGAGATGCTTGTCACTGCTATTGGATACTGGTGTCATAACCTGAGATTACCTTGACAGTCTAAAAGGGTTTTCTCAACCGATGCTGCACCACACAGCCTCTGTTTCCATGGTTACAGCCCCAGAAAAAGTTTATAGATTATGACGGATGCTGTTGTTCGGGTGTGTTACGAGTGTGCATCCATGTTGTGTGCGCGTATAGATACCAGTTACCAGACGTCCGTTGGTTATGTAACACAACACTGCGCCATGCATACAAAGGTTTTTCTCAATGACACAGTTTCAGAAGCTTAAATATGGCAAAGATTTGAACTGGAATAACCCTGGCAAACGTCTGCACAATATGTTGAGATTTCTAATGTTGAGGATTTGGAGGAGGAAAAAAACTTGAAAAGCCAACGAAAAGAAATGCAATATGGTGCAACACCCTTCTCATACAGATATAATGTGAGTTTTTTCTGGGG